CTAACTTTGTTGTAGTTTGGATGAGCTTTGAAATAGACCAATCCTACTTAATTCCCCACTCCCTATGTATAATATGTTGAGAAAGTGTATACCCAGAGATACCCCAAAAAGTTTTTGGACAGAATAAGTATTCTGTGAATTTTTTATTAGCAAATCCTTAACAGTTCTCTCTAATCCAGGTGTAGGTAACCATGCCTACTTCATCCTGTTCCTCTTTTTCCTGACCTTGGTGAATATTTGGGCCATAAATGGAACTACTTTATGTATGTATTTCTAACTCTTATTTCATTGTTTAGAGAGACAATGTGATATACTGATCTCTAATAAGTCTGGTATGTAATTCAAAAGTAATATTATATCATGCTCCTACTAAAATGTTAAAAAATTAGCATCCTTCTGGAAAATATGATGGGCTGGCATCAAGAGCTATGTATGCAATACGCACTTCTGTTTACAATAGCAGGTTTTGGCCCATGTGTACACATAGGATTATATAAGAAAGTGGAATGTAACAACTATACCTTTTGTTAGGCAAGATTGTGCATGCAGAACCTTATCTCTAGTGAATGTGGTTTGCATTTCAGAGAATTTTGCTGCAAATAGCTCTTTGATCCTATGACTGAAGGACTGCTGCTGCTCATATTTATTATTAGATTAAGCTAGTCTTCCCAGTAGTTAAATATATCAATACACATGTAGTACATTTACATGGCCGCTTTTTAGGTAGTACATATAAATAATCCACTCTAGGATTGTTTTATCAGTTAAAAATAGGATAGGAACTTTATAAATAAATACACAGTTCACCATGGTCTTTTTTTTTAAAGTAATCCTTTATTTAAAGTTAATATTACTTCTCTTAGATTGGTCAGAACACTGTACAACAACATATCAGCGGGATGGAGCTTGGATGTCTTTCACACAGATCGTATCTTGTTCTCCTTGGGTGTTATATATTTTCATGCTCATAACGTTTCACACTTCATGGGCTGCATTGTGGCTCATCATTCAGATTTATCAGGTACTCTTTTTTATGAATATTCCTTTAAAGTATTGCACTGAGTGTTATTTCCTCTACATTAACACTTGTAGTTAATATTTCAGAATGATCAATTTTGTGCATATCTAATCATGATGCAGATCAGTTAGTAATGATCAGGAGTGCCTCAGTAAATGCAGGCAGCATAAGGAATGGACTTGAAAGACAGGAAGAAGAGTTGCTACCAAGGCAACAGTCAGATAAGCTGGTCTTGAGCTATTCCAAGAAACTAATTTGAGAAAATGTCTCAGATAGGTCCCTCCCTAATTCAGACAAAGATAAAGTGAGGGATGGAGGAAGCGCATTCAGACTTGCAAGATTCTGTTACTATAGCTATTACAATACAAGTAGTAGTCCTGACCTATATGGAATTGGTTTCTTAGTCTGGTTTTCATTATAGGGCTGACAGGAAATCAGAGAATAGGTTTTCCATTTTCTATTTGGAATTTTATTAGGGGTATCTACCACAAAATGTTCAGCATTCTTGCTGGTCAGCCACAACCATGTCCATTATATTCTGCTCCTTTCTGTTTTTCTCTCTCCCCTGACAATCCATATACCATAGTTATCAGGTGCATCTGCCCTTCTTAGGCTATTTTAGTGGATTTTCCCCGACTTAGTGCTTGTTTTTTTCCCTTCATGATATATTTGCAATTATGCAAATGTCTTGGCTTTTTCCTCTCCTCAGATGAATGGAGCTGTTTCCTTCATTGTTGGGAGGGGAGCCTTATTTCTCTCCCATGCTAAATAGCTCTGTGTTCTCTCTTAGTTTTCTTTGTAAGTAAAACAAAATGGGCAGGAATATTCTTCCTTGATGTTTCGGTTCTGCATGGTTGGCCCATAGAGGGAAACTTTGTTTTGCAGTTTAAAGTACCCTTTTGCAATGATAGCTTATTCTTAATAGCACCATTTCTAGATTTAGGATTTTCCTGTTGTAGATGAATTAACCTGTTTTGGATGGGTTGTCAGTTTAATTCTAATGGGTGGCAAAGATTTGCTCTTGAGAAAAGCGTGTCCTCATGAAGGAACTTTGTCTATCTATCTATCTTGCCATCAACCTGCCAAAAATATGGTATGAAGAATTTATCCTGCCCTGTGGAGTGCTTAACTCTCAACTGAAAACTGCCCTGTTGGTCAGCTGTGCATAGTTTTTCTATGCTAAATCCTCTGTGACCTCTGGAATTAGCTGACTGGGAGCATTATGCTGCCTTCTTTATTTGTGTTATGACCAATGGAGAGTATGTATGTATATATGCATGTGTGTATGTGTGTGTGTGTAGGTAGGTAGGTAGATATCTGAATATGAAAAGCTATTTCTCCAAAGCTATTTCTATCAGCTTATTTTGGTTTTTGAACTAGAACTTAGCTTTGGGAAAGTTCTCATCCCAGTAAACCTGCAGTGCATTATCACTGAAGGATTAATTGCATTATATAGAGCGAGGGTTTCAAACACAGATTTCAGTTAATTTCTATTTTTGACTTCTATTAACAGATTGTTTTATTAGTGTTGTTCCTCTGTTTTTCATTTATCAGTGTATTTTTAATTGAAAAAAATCGTTCTTATTTTTGCTTTTTTAAAAAGCAGAAAAATTATATCAAGTACTTTTGACATTTCATTTTTGTCAATATATTATTAATTATTAATTGGCATTCAATTAGTCCTTTCCTTTTTTTTTAATTATTTCATTTTCAGGTTGCATTTCTCGGATTGACTTCACATGAAAGGACTACTCTCTGGAAGCAGAGTAAACATTCCAAACACCCTGTTTCACTTAGGAAGACTCCATATAAGTAAGTCATTTTTGGAAAGTGTCACTAATACTCAATAACCACTTCTGCTTGAAGTGATCATAGTTGTTAAACTTGGATTGCTTAACAAAATAAGAACTGTTTTAAAATATGATTTCAGCAACCACCACCAAACCTGTCCCCCCCCACACCAAAAAAAGCTGTCGTGTATCTTACATAAAAATAATAGAGTTCCTAGGACACTGTTTGCAGACTCAGTTTAAGGTGTTCTGCATATGTATAGGGGAATGAGGCAATATCTGTACAGAATTACCAAATTAATCAGTAAAAAGATGATTGGCGTGCACACACTTCCTTCAATTTTAATCAATGCATGGAACCCCAGTCACTCTGATACATGGCACTCTTGTTCTGGTACTTTCAGTCAAAATTCAGATTTGGGAGGAATGACATCTGTCTTTCACAATGATCTGTAGTATGAATTGTAACTTAAAACAAGGTGAAACATGGTTTGGCATTTTGGGACAAATGCTACATCTATCATGTACTTAGTTTCCTACTTATTGCTGAGCCTCACTTTTGCTTGAATTCCATGAGTTCGGTGTCAGAACAGAAAAGTATGTCTTTAAAAAAGTGTTTTCACTGCTTCCTATTTCAGAAATAGGAAGTCAAATCCTATTTCTAATTTGTCTCATGGTTTCACCAATGTGCTTTCTGGGAAAAAGGTGTTTTGTAAATATTGTAAATAGGAAATTCTCTCTTTGCCATGGCATCCTGTTATGAAATCACCAAGTCTCAAGTGTTTTCTCAAATTCCAAGTGTGCCACCGATTCAAACAATGGGGAATGACTAGTACACATTGGTGTACAAATTCTAACAAGCACCTTATTCACTTGAAAGCAATTCATTTGTAAACTTATCAATAGCTCTTGGATACTTCCATGATATTCAGATGCTGCCAGCATAAAATGCTTATGGGGTTTTTTTTTTTGCTAATATTAAGGCTACTTTCAATCTGTGTGGCTTTCTTCTGTCTTCTAGCCATGGATTCCTCCAGAACATTGCAGACTTCTTTCAGTGTAGATGCTTTGGGATTCTCAAGCCCAGTGTAATTGACTGGACTAAACAGTACACATTACTATTTCCTTTGGCAAAAGATCGAAACATTCATCCAGTGTGAAAACGAAAATCTGCAACTGGTCCCATGGAATTTACTGGATGCTTTCAAAAAACAATATTTAGGATACTGTAAAGTATATTACAAATTATTTTGTTATTTGCTATGTATCTAATTGCTATTTCAGAAAAAAAATAAAGTTTACATGCTTAAACTGAAGCAAACCGGAAATGCAATGGCAACTATGGTTCATGTATAATACTTTCAAATACTTTCATTTGGAACAAATATGGTTGTGAAATGTTCAGCTTCCTCAGCTTGCTGAAAAGATGATTTTTAAATAAACAAACAGGAAAATCTATCTATGATTCATTTGTGTCTATCCTTCAAAATCAACACTCAGTAAGGAAAATAAAGATGCTTTGAAATTTCAAAATATGCTATTATATGAAACCTGATTTATAATTTACAGGAAGCTATTATACTTCTCTGTTGATGTATGGCTATGTGTTACATCTATGCAGTGCTTTAGATCAAATCCCCCAAAGTGGTTTGTGATCTAGGAAAAAGACATAGTTGCTTTAAAGTACTGCAGTCAGGTGCCATGTTGGCATCCTCATGGTCTTTGAAGCACCTTTTGGAAATTGAACCCAAGCACTGCCCAGCCCTAATCTATATAAAGACTGTTTAGAGTCAATATATTTATGCTCACATTTATTCAGTTAAAGCTTCAGTATACTGCTGGCTTTAAATATTTAAAAGAAAACATAACAGTGTATGACATTGAACAATACATGCAGTAATGACTGAAGCATTTTTTTCAGTTGCCTAATGCATGTAAAAACAGATAAAAGAAGATTGACTATGAATCTTTTTGATATGTGTAACTCTGAATTGCACACCCTGTTTCACGGTAAGCTTGACATGCAGCACAAATCTGGTGCATCCTGAAGTTTATGCCAGAGTGGAAGAGAATAAAAGTTACCTTGTATAAATGCAGATCACAACTATATTCTTGACTGAATGCAAAGTTTAAGTTGTGGAATTATGATAAGAGTACTGTGTTAAAATAATTCAAGAAATGGTCAGTTATACTCTGATGAATGAAATATTTATCTTAGTGCTCACAATTGAATTACATGTTTATCTTTTATGCAGTACAGCACCTCTATAAGTAGCTCTGTCTTCAGTAGAATAAGCTTAAAGGTGGAATAACCGATCTGCTTTTCCCAAAAAAGACAACAGAGCTTTGGGACGGTTAAAATTAAAAAACAATAGAGGTAGAGATTATAGTAGACTACCATTAAAACTACTTTCTGACAAATCATAATCAAATGCCTATATTTCATGATGCATCATCTTCAAAATGCTGTTGATGTTGCATATACTATATAATAAAGAATAGGAATTGGGTTTTCTTTAATTACCACAAGTGTAAAAATGACAGCATCAAGTCTGTCTATGCAGTTACCTTGATAAAATAACCAAAATTTTGATTCAGAAATTATTTATGAACAGTTGAGATCTCAATATTCTGGAGTTCTCTTGTTCAGGAATGAAATGCTCTTTTTCAAAAATGATTTCCCACTATATATTATAACAACTGTGTAAGAAATTAAATTTTTCATTGCTACTTATTTAGATAGGTCTAAGTGCGAAGCATCTTATTCCAACTTTTCAACTTGAGTGAGGCCACCAAATCCAATTCCTTTAGGGCCAAAATTCTTTGCATAGCAAACTGCAAAACAAAGAAATGAATGATAGATTTAGCTATTCTCATAAGCTTCTCAGCATAAAACACCATCTGATCTCTCCTAAAACTCAACTTTTCTATAAAGTTTTGGGAAGAGTACCATGTTGAAATAAGTCTAAATTTATATAACCTAAATGACTGTGTATTGCTCCTTTATTTAACCTTTGCCTCTATTTCGTCACTTCCGTACTTGCCTAGGGACTGGTTAAGACTTTATTATTTCCTGTTATTTATAGTAATTGCTAGGATGCTTACTTCCATGATCAAAGGCCTGTCTGTTGTGATACACCATACAACACCATGGTTTGCCTCACCATTATTTCTTGACCAGGCCAAAATTGGCTGGGTTCATACCACACATTAAGCCATAAACAAGGATTTACCATCTATAACTGTTATATTTGGTTTGGGCTTAGCATATTGTACAAACAAGCTACATTATGGCTTTCTGTTTCTATTTCCCCTGTGTGCACTGCGAAAGGGACTGCCCTTTCTCAACTCACAATGAAGAATATAAGCAAGCTAATATTGGAGACATTAACATAGCTTAAGGAGAATGGAGAAAGGTGCTGGGTTGTGCAAGGAGGTCAGACATTAATGAGGGAGAATATATCTGCTATTTTTACTCATAGTTCAGTTTTTTTGCAGGACAGTAAAATGCTATGAAAATTAGAATGAAACAAGTAGTATTCCTAATATTTTTTGTTATAAGCAAAGAATGTGAAATTAAAAGCCTACTGTACTTTTTTTTTTTTTTTTTTGGACTTCAAGTCAGAATTGACTTCTGGTGACTGCCTGGACCCCCTGCAGTTTTCTTGGCAAGATTTTTGGAAGTGGCTTGCCATTGCCTTCTTCGTAGGACTGAGAGAAGTGGCTGCCCCAAGGCTCCCCAGCTGGCCTCATGCCTAAGACAGGACTAGAACTCACGGTCTCCCAGTTTCTAGCCTGGTGCCTTAATCACTACACCACACTGGCTCTTCATTGAATTTGATATGAAGATGAGGGATATATCACTGATATGTGGATGTATCCCTTACTAGGATCTTTAAAAGAATCAATTTCACTGGATACTTCTTTGAAAACCTTTTTGGTTCTAAATTCAGCATACATATTCTAAGTCTGCATGCTAATAAGCTTCTCTCAAATCATATTTTTCATATTCCACTTGCCTTTACAATAAATCTCTCCATCTTTGTCTGTAACATTTGTAGATTCTAGACTCTTTCCACAAATAGCACATCGGAAACAAGTCTTATGCCAAGGCTGAAACAGAGAGCAAAAAGAATTCATAGTCCACACAGATGTATACAACATTTGCACAGCAAGGTTTATGGCAATATACTGATGGATTAAGAGAATGATTATCTGGTCTTAACTTGCCTCTCACAAGCTATTCTGGACTTCATACAGTACATTTATGCAGAATAGACAAAGGACCTTGAAACTTACAGTAATAATGTTGCCTCATACAGATCAGGACTGGAATATCAACTGCAAAATCAGCATGAAGTATTATTTTAAAATGTGGAATAAATAAGACGTGTGTGTTTCTACAGCACAATCCTTGGCATATCAACACATGGCTTCTCATTAGTGTTGCAGAGGTTTGGAACCTTAACCTTGTATCTACTGTACACATGAGAATATGAAGCAGTTAACATCTTGGTAATTCTTTACTACTTGGTTTGTGATAGTTGTCAGCTGAAGTGTTTTAGTAGTGTCCTTGTATTGTGATAACATATTTCATATAGCTTATAGTACAATTTCTTACCTTTCCTCCTCCTATTATCTTCTCTGCAGCGTATACTGACTTTCCACAACGAGGACATTTTTCTACATCCCCAAACTTTTTGGCAAACTTTGAAGGGTTGGTAGGGGTAGAAGGACGAGCTGGCTTTGGTGAGCTGATGGCAAGAAAGTTTAGCATTATTAACCTTTTGATCTCAGAGATCAACTAAATTAAGGAATATCTGGCCTAAGCAATAAATAAAGTATATATCAGTGCTACATCATCCAAAATGAAATTAATCTCACACTTTCTTTTGATGGAAGAATTTAATATTTATACAAAAAAGGAATATTTTAGTGTTTGGCTTAAACAGTTGACATGGTCATCATACTTTGAACTAAATGGACAAATTATTCAAATAATCCCTCCATATTTGAAATAAGGATCTTTAAAATAATATATAGATACAGTGGTACCTCGGGTCACGAACGCTTCTGTTTATGAACAATTCGGTTCACGAACAGCACCGTTCGCAAAATTTTGCTTCCGTTCACGAACTC